ACGTTATATATATATATATATATATATGGCTTTTGTCTACCAGCCCTACAGGAATGCTTGGATCTGCGGCTGTGAGGAGCAGTGCTATATAGCTCGCGGGGACATCGAGACACGTAAACCATTAAACCACGTCAAGGTGCAGTTTCATCGATGATGCACCAATGAAATATGATATTTATTGGTATAGAATAAACTGTACACTTCAGAATTGTGCTGTTTGATTCAGTCGAGTTTACCAACCGTATTGCGGATTTATTCACCCATTTACTCCTTATTATTACCATGATGTAACGTCCCTCATCAGGAGAACTCAATTATATGGTCATTTTTTATGGTAACCAGCCGTCCTAAAAGCCCCCGTTCCTAACACGTACAGTCAAAATGCAGTAGTCATACAAACTTAATCTGCTTCCCTCAAAGAACCGTCTGCTCAAATGCTGGTTGTTGTCCGTATGTTAATCAAACCTATCGGGGCCCTATGTGGTTCGCCACTCCAAGTCGCAGTGCTTCGGTTACCTGTTTCCATCGCTGAACGGAAGGTCTTCGTGATTATGGGGTTCGTCCGGCCTGCTGTTTATCAGAAATGTTTGTAATAAAAAATACATTGAGCATTTTATATGATGATGGATCGTGTGCGCTTGTTTGAAACCTCCATTTAACAACAGTGGTTAGACATTCGACTCCTCGTGCCCATCTTGTCAGTCGTATTGCGTTTTAGCACGCCAATTTGATTTTTGCCTGATATTTTCTTCTTTTTCTAGGCTGCAGACTGGTTTTGTGGCTTGAATCATCTTTTAAATTGGAACACTCGTTTGCGGCGTGGAAGTGCAAATTATACTTCTACAGAAACTGTTGAGTAGTCTGTCGTGAAACCCCCCTTACTTCGGACATACCTCTCATATATTCTGCACAAGTCGTTGAAAGCACGTGGCTGTGTTTAATACCTCTTCGGATGTTTCTATTCCTGAAACGAATGTTCGTTCTTTAAATAACTCATTGAACATGCAGCTGCCCATTTTTCTTGGGTGATTTTCATAGCATATTCATCCATTCTGACGCTCTTGCTTGACGTATTGATTTTCTCACCTAATACGCACACTTGAAAATTCAGAGTTCTCAATCAAACTTGAAGACACAACATCTCCTTCATCTATTCATTATGTAATCAGCCCTTTTCGGATATTGTCATCACTTTGTTGATCACATCGACGGTTTTTGCCAGCCGCTAGATATTTTTCAGGACTTGCTTTCGTTTCATTATGAGTTATATTGGTAAGAAGCAACATTTATTACCACTCTTTGCTTCCCTCGCCTAACACTCAATCGTTTGATTTGTTTCTTTTTTTACTTTTTGATCAACTAAGTTATCTCGCCCATCCTGACGATAAATTTTTATAGATGACTTTCCTGATTTGGCGCTGGATTTGGTTTCTGTTCCGTTTTGTATCCTGATGGAAAAGGCATGAAGCCAAATCATCCCTCGCTCAGGTTTTTCTTTGTGTCCGCAAAATTAAACAAGTTATGGATAATTCCCTTGCTCAGTTGTCATGAGTGATGTCGTTTGTATAATGTGGAATCACCTTCCAAATTTATATTTTGGTGGGTCATTCCGACAGCGCAGAGTGATATGATCACTTTTGTCGGATATTCAGGTTGCTTTGCGTTCTCTGATATATCGTTGTCGAAGATATTCTGTTTATTGCTCGTTTCGTGCAGATATTTCTGCAAACTCATTCGTTCTGTTATTTTCCCTCTCGATCGCTGAGTACAAACCGAAATGCGGTCCAGGATACTCATCAATCTAATTTGTCTTGCACGATCTAAACTCCGCCTATTCGTGTTATACGAAGTCGACGAGTAAATGGATGGCGTAAAGGTTGGCCAATCAGGAGTATTTATTTATGTTTTATCACATCACATGGTCACGAATGGTAACAAAATGTGATATCAGATATTACAGTAAGAATCCAACCAAACTACAAACGGTCCTTTTTCATCGAACCAAAAGGTTATTCATGCGGGTACGGATCNGGTTATCCTGTCTATCTGGTTCCGTAGTCGCATGTACGTCGCGTGGTCCATAAAAGGACTCTTAAAATCCTTCAGAACGCCAAGCACGAGCCATAGCTGGCTGACCATCGTCCCTCCGTGTCTGACAATACCTTTAGGGGTCTGACTTGAAAAGTTTTGCACAATTGCTTCGGCACGTGAAAGCACACAGCAAATGGTTTTTTCTATCAGTTTGGTGACATTTTGACGGTTTGATTCCGGAGACATTCTGGCAATGTTTTTCATTATGGCTTCTAAAATATGCTTCTCTGTTTCTTGCCAGTAAATGTTGTCGGACTTTTGACTGTTATCGAGCAAATTAGCCACAATTTTACTGTTATGCCTGAATAGACGCTCATAATCCACATTCCATGCAATAGTGCCCAGACAGATTGTAATCTTTTTGACTTCGTAGAAGTAATCTGTCAGTTCCTTTAGAGTGTGACAATCTATTAGTTTTCTATTCATCTCGTCGGTAAACCCAAGATTGAAAAAGTCTCTGGTCACGGAACTAATCGCTTGCACGTCATCGTAGAACTCCTTGATTTCTTTCCTTTCGCTTTTTACGAGCAGATCCATTTTGAAACTAATCATTCTTGCTAAATCTCTCAAGTGAGTTGCAAAGTTTTTGGGATCTAAACAAGTTCTTCATAAGAAAAAACATACTGTTTGTGGTGGTAGGGCTATAACCATACCTTATGAGTCCGTCGTCCATCATTTGATTCTCCCGAATTCTTTGATCGGAAAAGATAGTTAAGAGTATTTCTTTCTGTTTCTCTCTTTCCGCATATTTTTCTTGCAGAAGCTTTGTAAAATCTTCCACGTTCATTTGATCGGGGAGCTCAAAAATGATACATACTGCAACCGATAATTTAAAAACACCTACAAAAATCTGAACTAGGAATTCTTCGTAGTGGTCCTGTAAACAGAGCAATAAATAAAAGAATATAAACAATGAATAAACGGAAGTTATATATTTATAATTTTGGCGTATCGTCTGTTAACGTAGAATCGTTTTTCACCTCTGAACTGAATATCTGGTTCTTGACCAACATTAGGTTCTCTTACCTTGTGGCACGTGACTGAGCAGTCCAGGAAACATACAATAGTTAAACCTAAACACTCTTTGTATATCACAAATTCAGACTTGAAGGTAAACGTGGCTCCTGTTTTTTGTGTAAAATAGTTCCGGCGAATGGAATTGTTCTGATTTGTAAATCAGATGTGTTGTTCCGAGGTTTCGCTGCATTCACGTGAACTGTGGCTTGTCGTTTGCTCCCGTCAAAGAACTCTGTGTATTTCGGCGTTTGCGTTGAGTTAGGCGCCAAGCTCATCTCCGGCCCAAGGGTCCGAGTAGGTTTCACGGATGAAGCGTCAACTCGCATACAGAAGGCTCGTTTGGCATGTACCAACTTGAGACATCTGTGGCGCCGTCGCGACATCCGGCTGTCTGTGAAGGGTCGANAGCTTGAACACCGCTGTCTACACTGCATTGCACGAATATGGTGGGGCAGCCCGATGAGCAATGCTGAGGTTAGGCGTAGAGTTTAAGGTAACCGCGGTCGCCCACTGGAGCAAGTAGTCTACCTCCATAGATTACGTTGGTTGGGGCATGTGTTACGCATGTCACCAAATAGGCTGCCGAGGTAGGTGTTGGGTGGAAAAAGCCAAAGGTGGTCAGCGTTATCATACCGTAACCTGAGGTACTCACACCTCTACCAGGCCCATTTCTGACCCCACTCGATGTATTGTGTCCAGGCATGGTCACCCTTCTTCAAAAGGGATGTTGCGTGCTTAGAGCGCGTTCGACTGCTAGCGAAGAAAGTGGTTAAGGGTCAGCAAGACAAAAGCTCTGTGACCTCAAACTATTCTTTTTGGAAAAGAAAAGACTGGAAAATTTCATAGAAATCTTCCAGATAATTAAAGGTCTGTCTGATGTTAGACCAGAAACCCTGTTTCAGGAGGCGCTATATTCTCAAACAAGGGGAAACGAATTGAAGCTAACCAAGACCCGGTCGCGATTGACCGCCCGATCACACTTCAACAACGGAGTATTCAAAATATGGAACAGGTTATCCGT